GTCTTTGTTGTACTATTCAACAATGTGAGATGCTTCCAAATAGTTTGTACACTCATTTTCCTTTGTGCAGCAAATTGGTCACATTAATAAAGAACGATTAGCCATGCACTGAGAACCGGACCATGAAATACCAAATTATCTCACACAAGAGCAGGGATCCATTGTGTTGGTGGTGGTCCTCATTTATGGGAGACAGGCTTAGAGGACCAGCCTACCCAGTAACCCACGGCAACCATAGAAACTCAGTGGGAGGAGCCTGTGGGCTTCCATTCACATGATTGGCTGCTGGTAGGTGTTCTGAGGTTGCATATGCTGAAGTGGGGGGGTTGTGTGTAATTTACATGTGTGCACAAGACTATAGGAGAAATCTAATGCTTAATTCATTATTTGTAAACATATTTCCATTATATTGTAATTCTCCCCATAATATTTAAGTATGAAAATGCAAGAAAAATCCTTTTGCATTTTTAAAAGTGCATCTTCATTGATAAGGCCTGACACATTTTAGGGACACATTAAGAGTTGAGATTCCACAATTTATTTACATTGATGCTTAAGTCATACATAACATTTAATAAAGGCACAATAAATTATATAATCTTCATCAGTAATATAAATAAATCGTATTATTGGTTCTAAATTAATATATTGTATTGTTGTGTTGTTTCAGTAAGGTTTTCTGGAAACATCACCCTCTTAAAGAAAGAAAGAAAGAAAGAAAGGAAGGAAGGAAGGAAGGAAGGAAGGAAGGAAGGAAGAAAGAAAGAAAGGAAGAAAGAAAGAAAGCTGTTGGTCTAACCATAATGAATAATGAAAAACAATAAATCAACACAACATATTTCCTAAAACCTGTGATTTTATTTAAGAGAATAAAATCATTAAGGATAGATGACTAAATCAATGAATAAATAATTTATTTTACTTTATTTTTTTTATTATTAAGGATAAACCAGGCCAGGAGTAATTTCTAAGTTAGTGGAAATGTTGAGATGTTGAAATTTGATTTGATTTGATTTGCATTTTAATTGAACTGAATTAATAAATAAATCTATCTGCTGGTCTAACAATAATGAATAAAGGGGAAAAACAGCTATATTAAAACTTGTCCAATTTTATTTCATTTGATTTCTGATTTAAAGCTGCAGTCTGTAAGTTTTGCCTCTTTGTCGCCATCTCTGTTTGAAAACCTGCAATTGCAGTTATTTGCACGATTATCTTCCTTGCGTGGGTTGTGTGCCGTCACGGCTCCTGCGCGGATGAATCTAATGTTTTGAGGCGAATGTGTGGCTCAGTGTTGCCAAGTCTGTGGTTTTCCCGCGGAATCGGGCTACATTATCACTTTTGCCGCGGGTTGTTTTTCATGTCTGCGGGTTGAAGCGACCGAGTACGTGATATTTAGCCCCTGGAGTACGAATATTACCAGGGGAACCCCTCCAAAAATGTGTATTTTACCCCCCGGAACACGATTTTTAATGGGGAGCCCCCCTCGAAATGCGATTGGGATAGTTTTGGGATAGTTTTGAGTAGCAGTTGGCCGGGTTTTTTTGTGAAAACCTGGCAACCCTGGTGTGGCTGTCAGTCACCACACTGGTGTTGATACAGTGTACTTCGGAATCACAGATTCTAGCCTACGTCTTGGAATATATGACCCAAATAAGCATTTTCACCGAATATTGTCATCTGAACAAGTAACAATTCTGCCACATTTGTTCTGACCAACTGAGGAAAAAAGCATTACAATAAATCGCGCTAATGGTGATTAAATCTAAAGATCGGTTAGCTCTTATCACATCAAACCATGCAAATTATTATTATTGTTATACTTTTTTCTCAAATTGTTCATGTTAACAACATCAGCATTGCGTGACTATGTGTATAGTTTGTATTAGCGTGTAGATTTCAATTTCTGTACAGTCTAATCTCTAATTGTCATACCATTCGAATTTCATATAAAGAAATTCTTTTAACCCAAAAGGCAAATTATTCTTCCTTCGAACTGGTTTTCTTTGAAATACAAAACTTGTGTAATCCCAGGTATGCTATCTATAATCAGATGCACATTTAAAACTGGAATATAATCTAATTTCAGTCACATATGTGTTTCATAAACGCATAATCCTTTCTGGATTACAATCAGAATGATCAATTTAATTATTCCAGCTGCTGTGAGAAAAGGTTATAAACGATCCGCCACCTGCTATATAGCATACCGACCAGGACAACTTCATGTTTACAGACGTGTTGTAATGACGCAGTGCCATGCTCGAATTTCCCTCGAATTCCTACCAGTACCACTCAAATGAAAAAACATTATTATAAGCTAACCGTTGTGATTCGGGCTAAAGTAAGGCGATAGTTTTGAACACTGGCTGGTTATGTACTTGCTCAAATATTGATTTCGGATCATTTTTAACCAAAAAAAGTTACGTACTGCAGCTTTAATTAATATGAATTGTTTATTTGAACTGCAAAATTATTTGTATATTATTATACAAAATGTATATTATTCAAAAGAGAGACCTCAGAATACTATCAACAGTCATATAAATAGCTTTTTTTAATTTTGTCATATTATACAGAAAATTTAACTTTTGCATTTGTGCTTCGCCAAAATATTAATCAAAATAATTTTGTAATTCTATAAAATAGATGTAAAATAGAAATCAATAGAAATGTAATTGCTTCCCTAACATTTTATCTAATCAATCTTGTCCTGCATGTATGAAGATGTGTGTGTGTGTGTGTGTGTGTGTGTGTGTGTGTGGGTGGGT